AAGTGACTATTGGTAATAATAAAAAAGGCCTTAAAATTCTGATCCTATTATAGTGTTGGAACATACCCAAACTGCTACCATAATCTCTGAAATGTTACTGTTCTCTGATTTAGGTGTCTGTGTCAAGAATAAAAATGAAGTATAACTGGTAGCAGTAGACTATTTCCTAAATGTAATTTAGTATTCACTAAGCACCAGCACTTTGCAAATAGCTCTGAGGCTTTCCTTCAAAGTTCAGAGCTCTAGTTATGCATATTGTGTGAGGTACACCATGCAGCTCACCTCCAGCCTCTGTTGTGCTGAATAGATGGCTAAGATAAATCATGCTGATTTGGCACTGAAGGGCATCAGCCATCAAGGGTTTGACTACTATGTCTTTTTTTTCCCTGAGATTGTATCTCCTTGAACTGCCTGCCCTGGGCTACTAGTTTTGGAGAAAATTAAAAAGTGGAAAAAATACTAGAGGAGGCCAGTACAGAAAGTCTACAGGCTTAGCTCTCTGGAAACCCATTAACACCAGTCACAAGACTGGCAAAGAAAACAGTGGTGGTTGTTTAAAAGTCAGGCCAAGTCATTTTACGCAAGATCTGGTAATTCATTAATCAATCTGGCTGCAAACCTTGAATGAATAACCTGAAGTAGTGAAAGAGACTGGCAGCACCACAGAACACAAGGGAGTTTATAATCTGAACCAATGCAAATTACCCTGGTGACGTTTAAGGCTCCCCTCTACCCTCAGCATCTTCCTGATGCAAAACCTTCCAAATAAGTAAGAAATCATTTATGTCCATGAATTTCCCTATTGCCAGGGGCAAGACAGTATGAATCCCATTGTGCATCTCTTTCTCTCCCCATATTCTCATTGGCTGTAATCCAGTGGGTTTTTTTTCACAGCCTACAATAAAACTTAGTACCCTATTTAGGCTTTCGAAATACACAGGGCATAGCATGGTCTTGAAAAGTAACCTGGGCTACACCTATGCTAAATGAAAATAAAGTCATCAAATATGGTAAGCATCCACAGAAGTAGGTAAATAAATGAAGTCCCCAGAAGGGCAAGCAATGTGGGTTTTCTGAAGTCTTTTTAAAGGCTAAAAAAGTGTTTTCCCAGGTATCAGAATACCACACTTAGATATCTTTATGACTTTCCACAAGTTCACTTTCACAGGTTATTACCTGTCTATAGCCTGCATTTTCTCTTAACATCAGTTGAGTTATTTGTAAGCAGTGCCAACGAGGAGATATATCCACCACAGATATCTTCTCTCTCCATAGGGGTCATCAATATTTTTAAATATGACTAACCTTACATGACAGGATACAGTATATTTGAAAAAGCCTCAGGGGACAATGGCTTTTTGTGAACAACAAGCCTTCTCACTTGTGCCACAGTAAGTTGTACAGTTGTTCATATTTTCACATAGCATTGGCTTCAAGAGGAAAAAACTAATAATTTTCATTTTCTAAAAGTAGCCAAAGCAATTTTTCACAAATAAATTTTTTTTAAGTCTAGTTCTTCACAAAAGTAAATCATGGAAGTGAATGATACAGTGACCCACCTAAATAACTGGTCTTGGGTGACTTGTTAACTATTTACTTGCATGAACTTGTGTCAACACAGAGTGCCCTGAGGTGCAAGAACTCCTTCATTTTATCTTTCCAGTAGTCAGAACAACAGGAAAATAAAACTAGGTGATAAACAGAAATGACCAAACTGTGTAAAGAAAGAAATCAACTAATTCATAACATGCATATGTACACATATTGGTAAGAAGAGCCTCCTCGCTGGGGCAGATGCTATGGGCTTGATTTGGGACAGTACTGGTTTTACTGGCATGTGAGTAGAATAACGCAGCGATGAATTAGGTGCGTCTACAAAATACTGGTGTGTTTTAATACCAGGGCGAAGGCCAGTATCTCATCACACCTAAGCGGATAAGAGCAGGGATTTATACTCAACAGTTACATACTATCTAGACTAATTGGACCTTTATCTCACTTGGCTCCTGGTTGCTACCACGGCTATTAATAATTTCTAGTCCGTGAGACTGATGGTGCCACTGGGAGTGTCTAAGCTTGTGGGTGGCTTGTGGGTGCGTGGCCCACGCGAGCTTCCAGGAACATGATTTGCAGAAAATTCACTGCATTTCTTAAAAAGAAAGTGCAATGAAGACATCCAGGAACTTTTAAAGGGCTTTTGACCACCAGCCCTCATCTAGACAATGCACATACTGAATTGACTCCTGACAAAAGAGTGTGCTTCATTCAAGGTTAGGTTTGGCAATTAACACTGTACAGCCTGTACAATTAACACTGCTCTTGCACTTCCCAGCACTTGTTTGCCATTTTGGTTCTTCCCCTTGCACCCCAAACGGATTGTATTTCTATTTCTGTATGACAAGGCCTCATCTGGAAGTTTAAGTTAGATAAAACATACTACTCCCATGATGATCTGACAAAAAAATAAGAGAAAAAAGGGTTTTTAAAAAAGTTATTTTCTTTAAAAGGAAAAGCCCATGCAGATCAATGTGGAAAAATCTAGAGATTACCAAATGGGAAACCGCACAAAACTTCCATTCTCTCATCTAAAACAAATAGTTCCTTGCAGACTGTGTGAGATAATCCCCGGAGGTAGAAGATATCTTCTTCTGTTCTTGAGCACCCCCAGTCGTCACATTACAGAGAGGCAGAGGCGAGAAATAGTGCAAGGTACCCAGCTGCACGACGGAGAATGGGGACAGGGTTAATGTATGGGAGGAGAAAATAACTGCTTCATTCCCATCTTCCTAGGCCAAGCAACCAAGACACATAAATATAACACACTATGAAGCTGAAAACAGTTGAGTTTTGCACTGCAGTGTTGCAAAATGCCATTAGAGCACAATTTGTCTCTACAGGTAAGTATGGGCCAAGCTGTGCTGTCAGAGACAGGGATGCAGCCTGTCTACTGAAGCTGATGAGCACAAGAAAACTCAGGCATTCGCAAAGAGTACAACAGAATTTGCCTGTTAGGATAGAAGTAGCGTATTTCATTTCCAAACTATTATTTCTGACCTATTAGTTGCTGCCGAGATGCATTTCCCCAGCTACATACCACCTATTTCTTCACAAGGAGGCTGCTCATCCTCAGATACATTCAAACCTGTCTGTGAGAGGTTACACGTGGTGACCACTACACCTTGTGCCATCATCTCCCAATGAGTTTAAGTACAAGCCTATCTGGTTGTCATGCTGTTTGTAACATGCTTTGATTTTCAGAACAGGATTTGTCCATATCGGAAGTGACAATTCGTATACAAAGTATGTAATGGAATCGTCACTACCTGTTTGAGATGATTTTTTCACTTGGCAGCTGTGGCCACCAGTGCAGCCAGGCAGTTACACACAGGGCAAGCAACAGGCCTGTGGTCAAGTTCCACTGGTTTTACTGGAACGATCTGCATGCTTAGAGTTGGCAAATGCTTAATTATGTTATTTATCTGGAACTTACATTTTGAAAGTCTGCATCTTTCAACTGCTTTTTCCGAAAGGAAAATGCCTCTGCATTTGGCTTTTGATGAATGAGGAAAAATACGTCTCCTCGATTATAAAAAAGGCAAAGCTACTCTCTAACATGCTAGCTGCAAATGTGCTCCCTGACTGCCTGCCTCCCTGCTACCAACCATCCAAACCTACACACCAACATGCTGTACCCTGCCCGAGGCAGTACAACTGCAATTCAAGAACAAGACGGGGCTTGGAAACTTCGTAAAACAAGGCATGGAACATTATACAACAAATGAAAAAAGAGGGCCTAAGCATACGGCTTTGCAGGGTTAATTTCATTTTGGTTTGAATAAAATTAATTCCAAGTTACTTGGGTGTAAATAATAGAAATCGAACAGAGAGGACCGTCTTCAGCTATCAGTTACACGTATAAATCCAGAGCAACTTCATCTGCATCAGGGAGATCACCATGGGTTTAGGGATGTACACAGCAAGGAGCACCTTCATTCAGAACATCTTAGGCAAGTATTTTACTACGCTGTTTCAGTTAGTCTTTTTCAGCCTTTAAACTCCACCATAATAATTTGGGGCTTCCCCCAGCCAGGGTACCTGCCCTGTGAGAGGCAGCACCTGTGACTTGTCATTGCACAAAGTCTTCCTGCCAGCTAATCAATTTATTGTCCAATTTCCCAGCCAGCGGACGATCTATGGCATCTCCTGTCATCACAGAGGGACGGAGGTTAGGGTTCAGGAGGGGCATGGCTGCCCTGTGGAAAATCGTGAAGGCTTTACATAGCAAAAGAAAAAAGACTGGAGACAGAGAGACAGTAATTGCCCTCTCATGCACCCTGATTCTAAAGGAAGAATCGTAAAGAAAACATTTAGATCTCTCCTACCACCCTTCAACTTTTACTTTAAGACTGTTCTTCACCAGGAGATCTATGAAACATCCCAAATAATGTGCTGGTTCCTGAGCTATCGACAGTCCACACTGCCTTCTCTACAATATCCACCCCTTTTCTCCTTTGTACATCAACTACAAGGATCTCTCAATTTGTGTGCAAGTGCACAGTAAGGCTTTGAGTGGTAAAAACCTTTACAAGAAATGCTCCAGTTACTCATCAGTGAGCTGCTATGCTGTACTCCACTTCTTGCCTGGGATTGCAAGTGGAACACAACAAACATGTTTCTACTTTTATTTTATTTTGTAGCTGACACTCATGCAACTCCTCACCAGGAGCAGTGCACTCTAGGCACTCCTTAGCCATTTCCTTTCAAAAATGAAAAGTTCCATTTAATTTCTTTCAAGGCTTTGTTCCTCCTCTCCCCAGATTGTAGGTCTGGTTTTGATCCTGAGGATTAAGGGCGCCAGTCAGAACCCGTAACACACACTGCCATGTTTGTGGTCTCTTAACTGGGGAAAAATAAAAACATAGTTGTCCACCAGGCTAAAAAAAAATAGAAAAAAAGCAAGCGAGGACTTTGCAATGAGCACTTGCAACGCCCTGCCTTACCTCGAATATATTGGCGGGTTCATTACTGTACTGATTGGAGATGATCTCCGACTGGTCGCTGTACCACTTGAGTCCCCCTAGAAAGCTGTCCGCGTCCAGGTCGTTCACATCTAGTTCAGAGAGGTCAAGTTCTGGGAGATCTGGGCAAAGAGGCTGGTCTTCGCCAACCAGAGCAGCACACTGCAGGAAACAGCAACACACAAATAGTTCCATTAATTACCAGGAATCTATTAACTTTAATACCATGTGATAAGAATTAAGCCTCGATTAAGATACTGCACAGGGTCACTAAAATTGACTTTGTTTTCTGGAAACCCCCCCACTACGCATTAGAGCATTATTAGCTCTATACAGGTACGCAAAGAGGAGGGGGAGACAGCAGAGGATACACTGTCTTCTCTATCGCATCACTGTCCAGGGACAATGACTTTCCATCTCCCTATACACCTTGATAACAATCGTGTTGAAAGCTTTATTAAATCCAACAGCAGAGGCCAAAGCATGGCCTTATTCTCCTGCTTCAGAATGAACCAGTGCAGGTAGAAGTTACAGATGAATACCTCTGGGCAAGGTCTGTCACGCATTTCCTGATGCATTCAGGTTAAAGAGGCACAGCCTGTTACAGCCTTCAGCCCTGGAGGCGAGCTCAACCTGGAGATAGTCACACTTTCATTTCTACAGATCCTCACTGCAATCCTTGAGGTCAGTCACGATGGTGGCTACCGTATGGGCATAAAAAACTACAGGTCAGTGACGCTGCTGTGTGCTTTCCTGAACGCACTCGATGATGTACAGACCGCAGTCACCCAGTTACACGTCAGGGTCCTGACAACCGAAGTGTATTCTGAAGTATCCCTATATTCGCTTTCGGGTGACAGGCACCGTTCCTTCACGCAGCCTTTCACCTGCTTGGTGTGAGCACGTATTATTGTCTCAGTCAGTTTCCTAAGTCTCCCCAGGCAGCGGCTGCAGTGAAGGAACCAAATGGGAAATGGGTTTTTCTCCTCTGGCAGCCTCTGATTCAGTAATCCTAACATAGAGGACCTGTGAAACATTTTGGCTGAGCTAGTAAACAAAGTCTAGTCTGCGTGGATCCTCTTCAGTAGTGCAAAATATTTTCCTCCACAAACTGATAAATACAAATAAAGCTGGAATAAGTGCCATTTTATACGATAGGATGAAGCTAGATAGGGTACTGACTGACTACTAAGTAAGAAGAAATTAATAACACAAATCCACCTGAGCATGGCTGTTGAAAATGTTAAAGAGTGGCCACCAAAAGCATTTCCTAATTATGGAAAACGCACAATAACAGCACGGCAAACAGTGGAGTCCCATACATCCATCCTGTTCAATTAAGTAATTCCTCCTGCACTGTATCATGTACCCTTGTAACTCATCTCTGAATATCTACGTTGATAACGGGTATGCGGCAAAGCACGCATCAAACTGCAAAGGCACCAGGCGTTGAACGGTTAAAAGCTACTTAAAATCAACTGAGAACTGGGGATTCCACCCTGAGTATATCCAGCTTCGTGTTAAGCATGGCCAATAGCAAGTCCTCCTCAGCTCCCACGAGTTGACTGGGTGGCTGGAATGATTTCCCAACTTATATATGGACTGAAGTCAACTCAGAAAGTGCCACTTTCTGAATACAAATGGCTGCAGGGCACTGACACGGTGTCCATGGATGTGAATTGCTTGATACCAGTTAAGTCACTCTTGCAGGGACCGCCTTTTACGACAATGCAAGCATGAGCTGCTGAAGGTGCATTTCATTGAGGTTTTTGTCGCTGAGAATCTCGGCGCGTCTGCAGTGCGCGGGCTGGATGCAGCAGCGCAGCCGTGAGCAAAGATTTTGTCTGTTGGCACAAAGACTCAGTGCAGCTGGTGCGAGCTATAATTTACCAGACAACTTCTACATCTACCAGGACACTAAGAGATAATCACGGAACAGGCCAAGGGGCAACGGAGCTGAGAGGCTGCAAAATGAGGCTCTGAAATAGCAGTTCCTTTTCTTCCTATTATTTAAGAGGCTGCGGAACTTTAAGAAGTCAAAACCCCACTTAAGTAATTTTCACTGCACGCAATTTTTTATCATTATTTTGGTCACGGGAAAAAAAAATCTAAAAAAAATTAGAGAGTTCCCTCTTCTTTAGTGCCAGACAAAACCTTCTGGCAGCAGTCTTATAATGCAGAGATGACCTTTTTTGATGCTTGGCCGAAATCTCTGATCTCATTAAAGGATAATCTAGTTTTTAACTGAAAAGGTAGATTCTCAGCATCACTCTCAGGTTTGTGTTGTGGAGGTCAGTAGCTTATAACTGATACCACAGACTTCTGAAGTATCGTGCTGATCTGTTACTGCTTTCATTTGTAAAAATAGGTTCACTCTGTGAACCACCTACTTAAACATGTTTACTCTTGGTAATCTGCATTTTTAAGTTCCTACAGCGGGCTTTTGAAACAACATAAACAATAATAGTTAAAAAAAATACCTTGCTCATCGCAGCTTTCATTTGCCTATAGTGACTGCAATGTCACCTAAAAAAAAATTAATTGCTGAAATGAAGTATATATGCTCTTGTCAATGTTGACATGATAATAAAATCAATGTTTCTGAATATGACATTATGCTTCTAATCTGAGACACATTAGTAGCAAGTGTTCCTGTTATTAATTTATATTTGGCCTTTGGATGATGCCAGATTTAACAGTCCAAGTCCTAAAACTGTCCTCATCTGACACGCCAATATTTACTGTTTGCCTATACATCTGTAACAGGTGCACCTGCATTGCTAGCGTACGTTTTACTGTCTTCCCACTGTTATTTGATATGATAGTTATTCCACAACTATAGGCTTAATTTTATAGTAACATTTAGGAAGATAAAGCAGTCACTAAACACAAAAGGCTAATTACTGTGCGTTATTTCACGCCAACAGACTTTTTTTCCTCTTAGTTCAGGCGCAAACAACAAATTAGCTTAACTGCACTGACGATAATGAATCATTATAATTAAGTATAATTCTCCATTAACCTTTTGGACATTTTTTGTGCCTTTGAAGGTAAATTAAAAAAAAAAAAGATGACTGGACTTGTGCCATATTAATTATATTAATGAAAAAATAATCTGTGTTTTATTTTTAACAGGTTTTTCCAACAGCCAAGGGGTTGAACCCAGGAAAGAAAGAGAGAGACTTCACAGAATCTGTGTCAGGTGGATTCTCGCTATCAATCTTCGCAACCTTACTGTACATCACCTTCATTAAGCTGCGAAGCACTGGGGACGCTGATCAGCTACAGTGATGCAGGCCCTTATTAAACAACACGGCGTCCTGTCATCATTTGAGTGAGAATATAATACATTTCACATTGACAGCAAACACTAATGATTCAAAAAATGAAAGCTGCCTCCTGTACCTGCTGCCTGCGGTATTTTAGATCAGTAAAGGTGATCCCCCGAGCCAAAGCAGTACGCAGACAGAACTGTACTGCTATAGGAAGTGCAATGCAGGAGCACGTTGGTAAAATCCTACCCACAGTTAATCCATCCACCACACAATTAATATTAAGATCAAACCTTTTTTTTCTTTTTTTTTTCCTCTGCTCTATGAAAAACTCATTGACATAAATTATCTATTCTGTTACTAGCTTGAAATTACTGCAGGAATTCCAGTGATTAAAACAAATCTTCAGTATTTCCATATAAGCTGGTTTCTCAATCAGCTCCTAGTAGCATTAGGAATAATACATGATGGAAAAATGAAGCTACGGCAGCTGAGACTCATGCTACAAGCCAGACAACAACCCACAGGATACTCCAGCTACTCAGAAACAATTAGGACTTTGGAGCCAGAAAGTCATCCACTTACAGCCTTGACTCATAATAGCTACAGGACATATGAATTATCCATATCTATTCCACTTTACCAAGAAATCAAAACAAGATAAGAGCAATTACAATATGCAAACAGAAATCAGTGGATACAATGGCAAGCTGCAAATATTTAAAACAAGTCAAAAAGACTCGAGAATCCACATGCATGCTCCGCTAGATAGGAAAAATATAGCGGAGAATGTTAACGTTTTCACTTTAGATGGGTAGCTCTCTATAGCTTGAACATCTTACTTAAAAAGCATTGCCTGTAACCTGTTTTTCCCTCCCCTGTTGCCGGAGGGAAGCATTTTAAACACTTATTCCAAGCTCGAAGCCAGAGGGTTAGTTCCTTTGAGCAGGTCTGTATTTGAGATTCCTCTCCATGGGGTCCAAAGAAAGTTTGCCTCGCTTCGCAAGTTGCCCGAACTTTCAGGTAATGCTCCATTTTGCCGGATGCAAACAGGCAGAAATCCTCAAACCTCACTTTATACTCCAGAGATTACCAGGGAGCTGCTTTCTTTTTTTTTTTTTTCCTTTATGAATTGTAGCCAGCAGAAGCTGTGGATTTGATGTATTGCCGTCTATTTTTACACAAGTAGCAGCAGCAGCAGCAGCAGCAGCGGCGGCAGCAGCAGCAGTTCACACAGTCCTGCATAAACTCTATTCTCATGGTTCATCCTGTTGTCTCTGCTGTACAGTGGGATTTAACCATTTGTTGGACTGCTCGGATTGACTGTGAACCCTGCTCTATGGGACATTAGCTACAGCGTCATTATTCCAATACCACAAGAAGCAGGGAAACGTCTCCTTCCAGAAATCTCTTTTAAAAGCATCTAAAGCCAAACAACAGAGTATTCATTCTTGTGTGCGTGTTTGAATTCTGCAGCTGATAAACAAGGAAAAAACCTTTGACAGAGCACAGTGAAACAAGCAATTAAAATCTGAAGCCGTTGGTTAATTTCAACTTGTTCTTGGTTTGTGTTTCTTTTTTTTTTTTTTTTTAAAATAAATGTTAATCTTATTCTAAATAAACATGGCATTTTTCCAACCAGGCCACTAAACGCCACTGGAAAGCCTTCAGACACCGATTCATATCAATATCTTAGAGCATAAATATTGCATATGACGGGAAAGCAAGCCAGAGGCACATGAAAATAGTTTCCAACTGCAGGAGATACTGATGACAGGAGCTCAGCTTTGATTTGCTCAAGGCATCGCAGAGTAACCTTAAAATAGCAAACTTACTGGAGTTAAGATAAGATTCGGACTTGTTCGCAAAGTATGCCACCTCGGCCGTCCTGCCGGTTCCCTGCTGAGCCCCCTGTCCCTGCCGGCCGCCTGCACCCCACGCGTCGCCCACGCCGTGCGCCCCTCACCTCGAGATCACTCCATACAGAGTCCTGGTTGCACATGTCCCACGCCATCCAGCTGCGGAGCGACGGCAGGAAAGCTGGCAAACTACAGTCCAGAGGCAGGCAGGCAGGCAGCAGACACTCATGCAGGCAACGAGACCCTCTCTGAGAGTGAACCGAAGGCACCTGTCTTACTACTGTTCCCCGTCACATGACAAAGCTATTAAAAAGTAGGCTGGGCTGTCACTCATCCAGCCTTCTGGTGCCGCTGCTCCAGCCCGTGACGTCACCCAGGGGCAGACCCAGCCTGAAGTGAAGTAAATCTTTGCAAAACCCGCTCAGACCTCGGCGGCCGCGGCACCACGCTGTGATTCAAAGCAGATTTCCACGCCACACCCCCGAAACTCTGCTCCCGCCATCGAATCGCTCCCATCCCTCCCCATTTTCTTGAATTTCTTGGCTTCCTTTATTTTTTCTCCCCCGCCCCTCGCAAAGCAAACAACAGGCAGAGCTGTGGTTTTTTACAAAGAAAAAGTGAAGTAACTCCAAGCCGAGCTACAGCCTGCACGCTCTGGGTAGCCCAAGCCTAACCTTTGCAGCACCCACATCTGCACGGTTTTCCTTGGAGAGGCTATCCCAGAGTTTGGCAAAAGTTAAAACGCCTCCCAGTATTTATTTTTGGGGTTTCTTTGTGGGTTTTTTGGTTTTTTTTTCACTCAGGGATTTTGTGCCTTGCCAAGTATTCTGGTTAGATTAACGGTTAGGTTTCTCGTCGATAATTGAGACTCAGGTTAGCTTTTCCACACATCAGCAGACATCCCCTCCCTCCCTCCCTCCCTCCCTCCTTTGCCTGAACATTTCTTTGGAATGGAGCAAGCACCTATAAAAAACATTCACACAGCTATCTCACCTGCTACAAGGAGGGAGCCTGATCCTGCTCCTAGCTAGATTACAGTATTTCTCAGCTGCTCTTTAACTCACTTCTCTGTCTCAGTGCTCTCCCCCTAGAAGCCAGGGTTGTTACGAGGAACTGCCACACTCCTGTCCATGACTGCTCAGACCTCCGCCTGCTTCTTCCTATGAGCACCGCTGCCTCAGGGTGCATTTCTCTATAAACACCCTGTATCAACCCCTCTGACCTGGACACAGCGTTTCCTCATTGAAAATAAAATTTTAAAAAAACAAAAAAAAAGAAAAAAAAAGCTCTTGTCACATGAAAACACAGACTTCTGCTGTTAACAGAAGTGTCTCCTCGTGGAAGCCTTTTGCAGACAATAGAGGCAGCTGCAGGTGCAACTGGTTTATGACGCCCCTTTACACCGCATACACAACAAACTTCAGGTACCAAACTGAGCTGCAAAACACTGCTCACAACAGAGGAAAAAACCCCACGTATAAAGGAGTTGTTTAGCCATCCCCACCTGCCTGCTCATTGTCTTAAGTTGCAGGTTTTTTAATTAGCCGGGTGCAAAAAGTCTCGTGAAATGTAAGTGCTGGCTCCGTCGCGCTGGGCTACCAGTCAAAGTCAGAAAACTATAATTGATCATCCTCCTTGTCATGAAATATTCATTTTCATTGTTATTTGCAAACTTGAGTATTCTAAAGGCTAAATGAATTCAATTATTATACAAGGCTATGGCGATTTTGCTGAGAGAAAAAAATACATAAAAAGAAGTACAGTTCTTGAAATAGCCTTTTTCCCGCAGACACTGGAAACTTCAGAAATGGTAGGAGGTCTCAGATATATTCTTAGCTTATTTGTGTTCACTTGTAATTCATTATTGCCAGTCCTGATAAAATGTACAGTTTTCTCAGCTTGTGCTTAAGTTGCAAATCACATCACACTGTCATATTTTCACCAAGCACAGATGACAAAAATGGCATTGTTTTTACTTTACTTAATTAAAAAAACCCACAACAAAATACTGAATGACTACAGAAAGCCCTTCCTACAAATGATTAAATTAACGGTATTGCTTTGCTCTCACAACAACTACACAAAAACCTAATTTCCTTCCCAATTATATGCTGATTTAATGATAAAACTGCAGTAAATTATTAAGATCTGGGGCAAAGGTGAGTACCTCTACCTCCCGCACTGTCAACTGTGAAATAATGCTGGGCACCTGCCTGCCTCGCGTGGAGCTGGTTCTTATTAATTATTATCTGTGGATCCATGCTTGGTGGAATATTCTCCTTCAATACCTACTTATAATTGTGTTCATTGACTGTGCCGAATCCATCATCTATTTTTTTTTTCAAGTTTCATTCACACCTTTTATAGAAATGTATTTACACTGGAACATTTCATATTGCTGTTTTGGATATTTTGACCTGCTCATGTTGTTTCTATTTTCTACATTTCCACTTCACTGCTTTCCCTTCAAATTAGCAACTTAACTGATAAATATAAACTGTGACCTTAGTGGTGCTCTCACCATACAAGCTTTAGAGATTGGAGAACCTTTTTAGTGCACCGCAGACAGTGCAAGCAATAAGTAGCAACGACTGAGTCCCTCCGAGCTTTCCTATGGCCCCGTCCACGTTACTGCTTGAACGTTGCTGGCAGTCCCAGCGTTACCTGGAAAGGATGCCAAGCATGATTCCAACTACAAAAGACTCCAAGTTTTCAACAAGGGTTCCCCATTGCTTGGGAAGAATTATTTTATTTTTTTTAATCCAGCCACAGTATAAATCTACTCACTAGGATCTTTTTTTTTTTTCCACGTGTTTTAATGTGTAGGTGTTTTTGAGTGTAGTGCCTGTAAGAGGTGACAAACTAGGAAGGCAGTTGCAGTGGCAGTGTAGTTTGGAAACGGGGCAGCCTCAGCGTATGTAAATGAGGCCTGTGAAAGCCAGCCAGCACCTAGGCTGCTCTCCTCAAAGGAAACCTTGTCTTCTCAACAATCCCTAGTAGCTTTAGCAATGCTCTCCCCTTGTATGTTTTGACAACACTGAAGAACTGCACAAATATCTTGCCTGGGGCAGTATCTGGGCACTCACACGTTATTTGGTTCCATAACAAACCCATGCAGAGAAAACCCTCTTTCAGCTGGTAAAGTCTGGAGGTCTGTTTGACCCAACCTGCCCTGTTGAAACGTTCCTCATTAGATCTCCTCCTCCATCACTGCACTTCCCCTGTTTTCAGGCTACTCTGCACCCAGTCACAGAAATTCCCAGATTTTGCTTTTTTTGCTTCGAGGGCCATAATTCAAGAAAGTTCTGGCGAGACTACCAAGAGCATTTGGGCATTAATTCCCAGATCCTGATACAGTTTTAACAGGACTGGAAGCTATGGCTGCCTAAAACAACAAGGAACTGAATTCAAAGACCAAAGTCTTCAAGCTCTCTGTCCCTGACTTTTTCCTGGATTCAGCATTCATTTTGTCTCTTCTTCCTCTTCTTTCACCCACACTTTCTAACTATGGTAATTTTTTTATTCCTTGTAATTTAGAATTCTCAAAGATGCTACTGATTTTGGAGCCCGCGTAATTTTGAAACCCTGGACGTAGTCCCTTCTTCATGGCACCGAGGAAGAAAGAATTTCTTTCTTTGCCCCCCAAGACTATGGTACTTCCTGATTTTCAGCAAACTTTGCTACTTTTCCAGTGGAGTAAGGACAAGCAAACTTCCATATAAAAACAGTGATGGAGTTCTGGCAAACTGAGGTTTGCAAGCCAGTTCTCACACCAGTTCAACCCCTTCTGCTCAACCCTCCAAGAGTGAATGCCCAGCAGAAGATCAGGCAATGCTGTATACAAAAGAGCAAACTACACTGCAAAGGTGTGTTAGTGTGAATGCTGTTCTATATAAAGTATATGTACTCTATTAATTTTTTATTAGAAATCTTCCTTCTGTGCATCTTTACTCTTATTTTTTTGCACTGTCCTGTATTTGTTTTTCAGTCCATTCTCTCTGTTTCACTTCTATCCTATTTGTTTGCTGACTTCCTTTTTCCTTCTCAGCTCCTTTTCCTTGTTTATCCAGTTCATCCTACCCCACATACCCCCTCAATACCATAAGCCAGCAAGTCAAACTCCTTGAACTTCTGGCTTCATTGGTGCAGTAATTCTACAGTGGAATAAAGCAGTGTGCCCTCTCCATTTTGCTAGGACAGTTATGAACTGAGATTTTAGGTTTTTTAATAGAGGAAAACCATGATGGTGCTCTGAACCAGCTCTCTGAAAAACTCAAGAGACCTGGGCCAAATTAATTCCTGGCCCTACTCAGGGCCACAGGCTGCTGTTTGAGGAGCTGTATATTAGAGAGAGTCCAAAATAACTTTCTCAGAACAGTGATGCATTACTGACATTACTGACACCACGCTGAATTTCGCCACATCTGCCTCCACAGACTGAAGGCTCAAATAAACAGTGCTGAATGTCAGGGGAAATCACTTGCAAATGGACCTGACTGTGAATATTCACTATTGCTGCAGATTAGACGATTATTGGTGATAACAGGCTTGCAAACATGCAACTCTTTGGTGCTTGCAGTAAAACCTTCCAGGAGTGCCTAAGTGAGGCAGGAGCACAGGTCCCCACCACAAGAAATCTTTCTGAATTTTCTCACATCTCCCTGAAAATGTCCCTCTTCACAAACATATTTCACTTACTCATTATTAAAACAAGAAAAGCAAAGGCACTCCAGCTGATTACATAAAACCCACATTTGTCACTTGTTTCTCCCCAACATTTGGAGCATATGTTCTCCAGGACCTACATTTGCTATGATTTGCGGGAAAATCCAGCTTGTCAGGCCTGTTAAAAGCAGTATGAACAATGTCTTTCACTCGGTGTTGCCGTTTCGCAGAGAGACTAATCTGTAAAAGAGCATCTACATTTAAATTTATTGCCACTATATGTTAGAGAAACGGAGCCATGTAAACACATCAGTTTCCTGGGCAGGCTTTGGTGCTCTTCGAGCGCAGACGCCCAGGCAAGCCAAGGAGACAGATTCCTGTTTTGCAACTTCTTGCACACTGGCAGAGCAGGCAGGACCACATAAAATCACAGACCGTTACGAATCTTCACCATCTTTCCTTTGCTCACCTCACTGATGATAGTTCCTCGGAACAAAAGAAATCAGAAAGTTCTTTTTTTCCCCTGACCCTTCCACGCATTCAGGTTCCCGGGAAGAGATCAAAACCTGCTCATGTCTG